AAGGATGAGAATGGACGCACTGTTTTGGAACTTTATTTGAGCAAGAAAAATTTTCATGTGGGGTTCACAAAAGTTATTGAAGTGCTATTGAAAAACGGTGCAGATCCAAATGTTAGTGCTAATGTTAGGACTACTAATATTAACAGGAGATCGAGTTCGAAAATAGATGTAACCCATAAGACGAGCAACCATGGAAGTTCAAGTAATCTTGGAGCGGCAGAAGGATGCATTATTTTGCCAAATATGTTATTCTTGGCAATCTGGAACAGATGGCCAATTAGAGTTCTCGATTTATTAAAAGAAAATGGCGTAGATATAGATAAGGAATATGGGAATCTAGGCGACTTAGGTAATTTGTTGAAGATGTGTTTGCAAAAATCAAAAAGTGGAAGAAGTCAGGTTAACTATACGGATGGGTTGCGATGGGTATTGGATAATGTACCAAAAGTATGCGGAAAGGAGAATTTAGAAGCAGCAAAAAAGGATACGGAGAAAAATAGTGATGAAAGGAAACTGATCAAAGAGAAGATAGGGAAGAAGAAAAAGTGGTTTTAAAAACAAATAAAAAAAATAAAAAAAAAAGCAATGTACATATTTTAGAATGATTATTTTCGTTTAAAGATTTATCATATACATTTTTAACGCAACATTTATTTAAGATTATTAATATTTATATTTCAAAATAAATGGCATTTTCTTTCTTTTTTTTGATTGTGTTATTCAAATTTTGTTTATCCAAGATTCAGAATAATAAAAAAAAGTTTCAACCCTACAATAATTGAGAAGCTAATAAAACGAGTAAGTCCTGTTCTACGAAATTTCCAAAATTAGGGTGCGAAAACGGGCTGGGCTTGGGTTAGCCCGTTTAAATGTCAGGTCAGTCTTGGGCTTTATGAACGGGTCCATCTAGGCTCAATAATCGATCTGTACTTATGATTAGGGATGGGTTTGGTCGGTTATCATTGGCTAGTCGCTCATAGTCGACTAAGCCGCAACTTAGTCGTCGGCTAAATAGCCGGTTATAGCCGATAAATTATTTAATCAAATAATTATACCGGGTGTTTGATAAGTCCCTGGACAAGACCTTTTTTATGTCTCCGCTCATGTCAATTTTTCTTTTGATTTATTTAGTGGTCAATAAAAAGTTCCTGCCCAGGGACTTATCAAACACTCGGTATATTATTAGTTTGTATTCTTGCTATAGAGTAAAAGTCTCCGGGATTATGATCCTC